AGCCCTCGTAAACCTCAGTGTGAGTTTCCTGCTTGGAAGAAAGACTTAAATATACCCATACTGGCAGAGATAACATCTGTCAAGCACATTTGAATGCAGCCCTTTATAATTACTCATTTTCACAAACTAGGGCTCTGTCTGAAGTCCCGTCAGTTATCCAGGACGTGATGGTCATGGAAATGCGTTCGGGATTTCTCAGTCCGAGGCACTGGAACTTCCACTGGAAACCAGGGAAGGGTCTGAGCTTTGCTGCTGGGTCCAACCAGTGCCATCACTCCTTTCCTGACAGCTGAACTATGTTAATCACTAGTTCATTATAGTCATATGGTCATACAGTTCAATATAGTCATATTATTGACTAATGTCCTGTTCTTTGCATGCAAACAAACCATCGACCAGGCAATCACCCAGCTGCCCATCTGCCCGCTGCAAAGACAGCCCCTTGGCTCAGCTCACGTTGTAAAAGCCCTTGGAAAAACCCCAGGAGATGCAGCCAGTGGGAAGACAACAAAGTGGTTCGTGTTCAAGGAGCTGCTCCCACCAGCAGCTCCCAGTCCATCCCACCCATCTGCTGAGGAGCAGGTCACCCTTAGGAGACGAGTGAGCAACAGGATACAAGGGGGCGATTCCAACCTGTGGAGATCTGTGGACGCCCACGATTTCAAAAGGCCAGGCAGATGCTGAAACCTTGCTTGAGATGTTTGGGAACAACTAATTAATACTGTCAGTGAATGTTGATCAGCTCCTGTCTGTCAGAGGGCTGGCCTGGCATTACTGATGATCTTCTGCAGGCGTATCAGGCAGGGGAACAGCCCGGTGATAATCTCAAGAAGAATCACCCTGAGAGTTATCCTCCCTCACAGAAATGTCTTGGCCAGATGTTCACCAGAAAAAAGGACCCATAACCTTGAAACATGGTTTTGGGATGGCAAAGCTTCTGGAAAGTAGGCCATATTCAAAACAGACAGGGTTTATTTGGAAATATGTTAACTGCTGCTGAAAGCAGACAGCTGGATACTGGAAATACTACCAGAGCCAACAGATCTTATTCCTTGGGTGCAGGAAACACTGGACAAAGCAGCAGGAAAAAGGAACACAGTAATTCCTGGTAGCACACGACAGGAGTCCTGCTGAAACCCTCCTCGGCCATCTGCCTGTAAAGCTGATGGACCAAACCCGATCCAACAGATGAATGGTAGAAACAAAGATGGTTTTTGAGAATGTGGGCTGTTCCTTGTCTTTAGAGCCGCAGACAGGACACAGAGCATTTACCAGCTGGTAGCAAAACCACTATGAAGAAACCCAAACTTACACAGGGGTGGGGGGACATGTTTGCACACAGCGCTCACCTTAAATACTGGGCACAAAACGAGTTGTTACCTTGGCTATAGACAGAATTTTTTCATACTCTGCGTGGTCTCAGCAGCAGTAGAGCCTGCCCAAAGCAGTGCAGACACAGGGGCTGTGGGCACGTGCACAGCAGTGAGCTCTCTTGGAGAGGATTTATCCAGCACATGGGCTGGCTGGGAGCTGGCTGCTGCCGAAATCACTGCAGCAAAAGAAAAACCAGCTCCCACCAGCACTTTTCCAGATATTGCAGGAATTCATGTACCATCTTCCTGGAGCTAACATGTGCCTACACCACTAACGCCCCACCTTAGCTACTGGGGTGAAGCTGATTCTAGCCAGTTTTTCTGCACAGAAATTATTTCATCTTGAGATATTTATTATTTGGTCCAGTGAGCAGGAATCTGACAGTCTTTGAAACACGAGCCCACTGTGGAACACATTTTGCAGAGAATGGAGTTCAGAGGGAACAACAGAGAACACCAACATCCCCGACTGTCACGGAGCTTACGATATCAAACTGTATCTGCTCCATCAGAAACTCAGGTATCGGTGTCTGTCCAACCACAGAATCCATACGCTCAGGGATTCAAGAGCACAGAGCTCCTGAGACACCAGGTAACGAAGGTGAGGATGACATGCAGATAACTGCAATGGAGATCTGGAGGAGTGGGAGATCTTGTTTGAAACACATGCTCGTCTTCTAGAGCCTCTCAGGATATCTAGCATGCGTTCGTCAAACTAAAGTACTGGTGACATATTTAAATAAGGAATGGATTTCAGTTCCTTATTTCTATTAAAAATCCCTTTTGACCAATAAAGAGGTAAATTTTAACCATTATAATGCAAAAATAAATGTATTCACAAATAGACTGTGTCATGATTAAGGATGTATCACACCTACTGATTTATTACAGCTGAATAAAGCCCACCTATGCAGAAGATTTTCTGAAGAGGAAGATTCACTGAGATGTGCCATCCTCAGTGGTACCAAAGCTGAAAATTTTGATCAGGCTTGTTGACTAAACAAACCTCATGTAAAACTTGGGTCAGGTTGTCCATGAATTTTCTCATTGTCTGTGTCTGGAATAAGAGGGGTGATGTTCAATCTGCTGCTTTGGAAGCCTCTAAAGGACTTAATTCTCCCTGTGCACAAGGCAGAGCAGTGTGAACTCTGAGACCTTCTGGAGATTTCAAACTTTCCCTTCTGGACTCAGACAACTCCAATTCCCTGAGGGTTCCTTCAAGTGGGACATGAAAGCATACTGCAAGCTCCCACCACTCTCAAGCACTTTAATTCCCATGCCTGGCACCTTCCCATGTCATTCCCAGGCTGTGCTGCAGATGACCCCAGGACATGATGCTCTGCCCACCCCCAGCCAGGCAGAGCTGGAGCACCAGCACCCCCCAGACCTGCTGCCTTCTCCCTGCTCTTGGGGATCTATGGGTCATGTTTAATCTCTTTAAAGCACAGGGTAAAGCATAGGGTACCCCAGGGTCCCACACCTTGATATAGATGGTGCTTCACTAGGAAAGCCCTGGGATGTGGAGCTCTGGCTGGAGAGCAGAGGTTATCCCGCTGGATGGTTGCCCTTTGGCATCTGTAACAGCAAAGCCTGACACAAGGGTCAAGTCAACACAGGCTATAAATCATTCCGATTTATTTTATATAGGATGTGTCATCCCCAAATGGGAGCTAACACTCCTCTGAATTCCATACTCAATCTTTCTTAACGGTGGTCAAGGAAAATGTTATCTAGGTGGAAGAGTCCAGCTGTAACCCCATCTCCACTCCTGCCCCAACTCTCTGAAGAACAACTGCAGTTGGATGCTGGAAAAAGAGATGCAGAAGGAGAATCTACAATGAGGTATGAACCCTGTACCATGGTATCAGGCTCACCAGGTTATGAGATACCACCCTTTCACCTAAAAGCTCAGAGGGGACACTGTCCCACAAGACCTTGGCGAGTGGCAGAAGAGCCTGCCAGAAGCTGAGATGGAACCTTTCTGCTAGGAAGACCCAGAGCACCATCCCCTCTCCGAGATGGCTAAAATCTGGGGGGGTGTTTTCCTGGGAAGGCGTCCCTCGTGCAGCACTGCCACACACACACACACCACAAACTGCCTTTTGAATACATAAGGGAGGAGGACAGTGTCACACTGACACTGTTTGCATACTGATACAACCCCTGGAGCCCCAGCAGCCTGCTCTGCATCGCTGAACGCTCCCTGCTCATTCTGATGACCACGGAAAACCCAGCTCTGATTTCCCCAGGAGTTAAGGGAAGGCTTGATACCTCTCTGGATCAGCCCCAGTGCAAGCCAAGCTGAATGCTGCCTTATGAGTCAGAAATTCAGGGTCACAATCAAAGTCTAGGAGGTCAAGATTATAAAAATTAAACCCAGCTGCGTACTTGCAGACTCATTTTGACAGTTCTCTGAACATGTGACTTTGTTATTGTTGCTCTGTGGTTATTCTATTTTTTTTAATTTTTTTTTTACAGAGCCAGGAAAGAAGTAAAAGGCACAGCAACGAGGAGGGGAAAAACAAGCCCGTGCATTCCAGAAGACAAAATTCCAGTCAACCATGACTCAGGAGAAGAAAGTGCCACCCACTGAACGGCAGAGGCCGTGTCCCACAGCAGCGGGCAGTGATGCCGCGGTGAGTCAGGAGCCACCCATGCTGCCACCCACGCCGCTTCCTGCGGCCGCAGGGCGCTCCTCGGGGGGTGCCACGGGGCTCTCAGCCTGTCCTGAGCACACCAGATGTGACAGGGACACACGGCCCTGCTGTGTTTGGCCGGAGGTGCCCGCAGCTCGCCCTCTTCGAGCCGGGGGACTCCCTCTGCACAGTCACCTGTAGCACTGAAAATGTCAATGAATCCCCCCGTCTGTCACAAGACAGAGGCGCCCAGGACTTATGAGCTCTGTCACCTCGCTTGGAACAGTTGTGATGATAATGAGCTGGGATCACCTTAACGGGGCTACAGCAACACAGCTCTGATGCTGCTGCTGAGCACAGTTGCTCCGAAACACAGTTCACCTGCTGCTATTAATACTACAACCCATGAGCATCGGTTTTCTTCGCTGCCTTTCTCTACCTTCCTAACAGGTTCCACGGCAGAAAAATGCTCTATAAAACCCAGCACAGCAGCTGCACGAGGATGAGCCTTAAAACGCATTTCACCAAGTGACAGCAGAGAGACCCTGCTACAGACCAGGCTGCTGCCTGATATTCCTTGGAGAGGCAGCGATCATCATTCTAATGCAGTAATTGAGTTGTCTGCCCAAGTGCCAGGCTTCATAGTTCATATAGAAATTCTAGGGCTATCTAATCCCAGATCATATGCTGCAGCCAAAACCCGAAAGTAGAAGGGAGGCAACGAGCCAAACACGGGGCACATGAGAAAAAGGCATGAAATGAACAAGTAGAGGCTGGATTTGCTGCGAGCGTCAAAATCCCTCCATCACGGTGTACTCACCACCCCACAATTCAGTATTTCTAGCGTGCAGATTGCCCTTCCTCCACGCTATCCATGTCCTCTTCTGCAGGTGTAGCAAACAACCACCTTGCCCTAAAAACCGCTTTGGACTGGAAAGCCTGTCTGCAGCCTGTCCTTTGCCCGTGCTGCTTTCTCCCTGGATGTCCTTACCTTCTTGCAGAGAACCATCTGGTGATCAAAGAGAAAGAAAACACGCTGCTGGTTCCGTCCATAAGGCTGGTAAATCCAGGACATCTCTCCCGTGTAGATCAGCTCGGAGCTGCGGTCCAAGATATCGTCTCCCTGGAGGGCACAGAGAATGAGGCCAAGTGAACCGCTGCTCCCAGCCAGGGCAGGGGGTACATGTCTCTTTGCAGGACAGGGAGGAGAAATAATTAAATAACATTTTCGCCTTCAAAAGGCTCTCAAAACTACCTCATCTGATTTCAGACCAGGAACTGGAGATAGGGGATAAATCTGAAGGAAGGGAAATAAATGAGGTGAGTGTGGACACTCCAAGCGTGGCCATTTGGGCTCACGCTGCGATGAGGAAAGAGCTGCTCCAGACACTGTCCCTGTTCCCCCCTCTCCAGGTACCCCCAGCCCCTGCATCTTGCTGGAGGTGCTGGTGGCATCCTGAGAGCAAAGTCCCTTTCTCCTGCCCAAGACAGAGCCGCTCTGTATTCAGGGTAACAGATTCCCTGGCCCCCCCTCCCTTGACAATAGCTTCCCAAACACGTCCCCTCCCGACATCTCAGACCAGCCACCAAAGTCATGGACACTGGATATCAATTCCCCAACCCAGGAGGCTGCCAAAACTCACCCCTCCAGATTGCTGTCTCCTTTCCCACTCATTCAGGCAATTACAACCCCTTCTCCCATAGCTCATTAGAGCTCCCCAGCTCCAAAAAACTGTCAGGACCACCCCGGCTCCTCCGGCAGCCTCTGTGCCCCCCCGGGGCTGGCAGGGCCTCCCCAGCCTGGTGCCAGAATGTCCTCACCCTTTCTCTGCCTCCGGCTAACGCTTGTTTTTCCTCTCCCATTTTTTTTTTTTAAGGATTCGTGAGCAGATGGTCTTGAAAACACAGCGCGCGCTCTCCCACTCTCCGAGAGAACAAATGCAGTCACCCTCCACTAATTGGGATGAGCTGGACTTTTTAAAAAGTTAATTAAAATCTATTTATTAAAAATGGGTGAGTTCACCACCACCTGCCCTGTGGGCATCTCAGTGTATCTCTCACTCGGAGATACCACAGAAGGAATCAAGATGACTTCAGCTAAAAGGTAAGGAGCAGCATTCAGGAGTAAGTGAGAGAAAAGCTTTTATTTTTTTCCTTTTTGGCTTTGAACCTAGTGCAGTTCTGGCTCTGATGCCAAACTAGAATCAATTTCTGGGACAAGAGCACCCCAAAATCTCAGCAAACAGCTTGTAAAGGTTCAGCCAGCTCCGGGGGGGAATCTGGATAGAGGTGCTTTTCTGATACTGCCTACACTTGGAGGTGCCAAAGCACCCAAGAGTCATCCCTACTCCTAATTTCTCGGTGAGGATTTCAGACTGCTGTTCAGGTAAATGTGTAATTAACCTCTCAGCATTGATTGGAAGCAAGTGCCTGAGTCCCTGGGCCCTGTGACAACAGCGACTTCATTAAGTCGCTGCATCATCGTGCTGCGGCGCAGACCTTCAAATCGCCCCAGCGAGGTGTTTTTCCACCTCTCCATCTCACCACTGCGGCCCAGGGACCTCACGGCCTGACGAGGGACTGCTCCCCAGGAACACGGAGGGTCCTTCCCAGAAGGGATGGGCCACGCATCACGCCGTGTCTCGGGAGTGGGGTGTCAGGGTCCCATTTCTCCTGGTCAGAACCCGGGGCCCCGTGCGCTGCTGCGACAGCTCACACACACACAAGCTCTCAAACAAGAAGCCTCTGAAGAAGAACACACCAGCTCCAGCAAATCTGGGCTTTCCTGGCTAAACATGTGCTGATATGAAGAAGGCTCATACAAGCCTATGGATGGGAGCTTTTGGGAGAGGGGGCGAGTCTAGAAGAGGCTGGGGCTAAAAATAGAAAGCCAGTTTTGCTTTTTACTCCTGTGGTAGCATCTCAAGCCTGAGGACACACAGAGGACTCTGTAAACACTTCTACTTGATTAGCTGAATCCAAACTGTGTAGTCCCTGCAAGCAACATAAACCAAAAAAATTCAGATCCGAAATGATAGGATTTGGGTTGCATTTTTCTATGTTGGGAAAACAATTTATATGTACGGTCTATAGGGATGATTTTCAATCCTGGATTAGCAAATTTGGAAATATATTTTGCAAATAGCTTTGGACTAGCACAGGGCTGGCCAAGAGCAGCACCTCCACGGCCCTGCCTGTTCCTCGGCTGCTGCAGCAATACCCAGCGTGGCTGCACCACCAGAGCCTCCCACAGCAGATGTAGTCAACCTTGAAAGGCATTTTTTTTCCCCGACAGAGTTATACCATCTCTATGAAGAGCATGAACTGTCTTCTGCTAGTGGAGCATCCCTACCGAGGGGCTCCTGGGGTCAGTCACAGGGTGGTGGGGAAGGAGGAAAGGGCTTTTCTGCTCCACTGCCACCACCACCCCAGGATGCCACGATACCTGGTCCTAACTTGGGGCAGGCTTTCCCCATCCTTCTCCTCTCCCCGGCCTTCTCTAAAGCCAGTGCTGCGCCTGCATCCCTCCAACCCTATACAAAACTAGGAAGAAATTTGTTTCCCCTTTCTATTTTTTCCCCAAGGAACTCCTAGAGAGGCTGGATCATCTATACCCTTCTCTAAGTTAAGAGAAATACTGCTAAAAAAGGAAGAGGCTGAACTTTTAGTTACTCTGAACTGACAGATGCACAGCAGCCAAATGGCCAAGAGAAGACCAGATGACCTGCTGAGGTCTCCCCTCCAACCTGAGTTATCCTACAAGCCCATAATAAAAATCCTCAGCCCTCCCCAGCCCGCGCCAAGGGTTTGCTCTGCACATCCTGGTGCATCCAAAGGGCAGCAAAAAGCAAGCTGGCTCCTCCTCTTGTCTTCATGCTGTCACGGGCAGAGTCCAGCTACTTAGTGTGCAGTAAGGGGAGCAGAAGGTCACCCAGCTCTGGTTGGACGTGTGCTCCACACTCCCTGGAGCTCGCCAGCGCCAGAATGACGTATAAAGTCCTAGGGCTAATCCCAACTGTTGCAGCAGAGGGTCAGCTCTTCCACTGCTGCCGCGGAAAGATGTTGGTCATCAGCTCCCCAGTTAGGCTGCAGGTGACCACCACTTTCTGTAACGAGGAACTGGGAGGAACCAAAGGTTTTTTACCAGTGTCAACAGCACCAAATGCTGTTGGGAGCACCGAGGTAAGGAGGAAGGGCACGACACTGCGAGCTGCAGCACGTTACACCTCCCAGTCTGCCCCGCTCCTCCTCCCCATCAGCAATCCCTGAGGAGATGCTGTCCCAGGCTCAGAAATGCTCCCCAGCCCATCAGCCTCGCTCTCCTGCGCCCGAGCCCACCCCCTGACACGGCTCTTTGCTGTCACCGCTGGGCACAAAACCCCCTGTGCTAGTTAACATTCAGCGAGCAGGGCTCTCTTCTGCCTGACACTGCTGTTCTTTAATTAGAGATTGACAGGCTGATTAGCACTCTGGGCTACGGAAAGATCAGAAAAAGGAAAGCGAGAGAAATGTTGTCCTTTTCATCAGGCTCATTTTTCGATACCTTCTGTTGCTGGGGAAAGGAGGAAAAAAAAAAAAAAAAAAAAGAAGAAGGATCTGTTTCAGTCCCTGATGCAATTTTTTTCCCAGGAGGGTTTCTCATCAGGCTGTCCTCACTTTGAAAACAGTACGTCGGTTCCCTGCATCTTTTTTTTCATGTCATTCTTGGATTCAATAACGTAATATTAGGCTGAGGCCAACTATTATATATTACATAATTAAGGGCACCAAGGCTTGATTTAAAGGAGCCGTAAATAAAAAGAATGGGAAGAAATTTAAAAGGATAGTGTTCATTAAATTTCTTGATTATATATTTTCTTCCCTTCATGTAAATTTAATACTCTTGAAACCTGCCAAAGTGGCAGCCCATGGGAATCTCTGGTAGAAATGTCTAGAAATCTACATGAACCAAAATAATCTGTTTAAAAGAAAAAGTTAAAACTAACGCAGCTGATGAGCAAGGCTCTGTCCTTTGCCAAACATCTCGATGCTGGCTCGGGGACCTCTGCAGCTGCCCTCCCAGGGAATAGGGGCCACATCACCTTCCTCCTCGGAGGAAAACCTGGGCTGGAAGAGGGGAAAGCGTTGCTGGCAGCTCCCAGGAGGGCCCTGAAATGCTGCAGGGGTGGCTGCTTCGTTTTGTTTTGATGTGGTTTTCGAGTGCTGTATGAAAAGGCACAGATTAGAGTGATCCCGAGGTTTGCCAAAGCACAGATTTATTTCCCATCTCCACATCCCCTGCGCTGGGCGTGCAGCGAGGGGATGGATGACCCGAGGCCACGGTGGCCACCACAGTCATGCCCAAGCAAATGGCAAACCTGCAAATCCTGCCCGGAGTGAGGCGCGCGCTGCAGCATCTCAAGGGGTTGCAGGAGCCCTCAGGAGAGCAGGAGAGAGGAGAACGTGCTCCTCTGATGGCTGTCCAGACAGAGAGACAGAGAGGATCCCCACTCCTTCACTCCCACCTCCTCACTTGTGTGCCTGTAAACACAGCACTGCCCAAACTGGGGCTTGCAAGGACTTGGAAATGACGATGGGCTTTGTGGAAATAACCCCTTTATAGTACTGCTGTGTGTGTATATATATCCAGGCATCACCCACTAACCTTTGAGTCCGTGGCTCTCAGAGGGCACGAGCACAAGGGACCGAGCACGTAAAGGCTGCCCGGGATGGGCTCTGTCTGGCCTATTTGAAGTCTGATCCAGAGGAGACTTTACAGGCTGTTCCAAACCCGCTCCGGCTACCTTTGTGCACTGGTTTTGCCTGCCTGCCTTTAAATGTCACTGTTTTGATCTGAGGGTATTTAACTACAAGTAAGGGGATGACGCTGAGAGGGGAAATAGAGGTTGAACATCAGGAAACACTTCATAACAAGGAGAGCTCTCAGACATTGAAAGGTCTCGGCAGGAGGTGGTGGAAGCCCTACATTCTGCGACATTAACAACTGAAAGGACAAAAGGCACTAGAGAATTCGGTGTAGGCAGGGGCAGCACCTCTCTGGGTCTGTTTATATATTGTAAATTCAGGTTACAAAATAAAGAAGTGAGTCATACGTGGCAACCGTCCAATCCAGGCTTTTCGGTCAAGACCACATTCCTGCAAATTATGCAGGGACACATTTCAAAGTGATTGGGATTATTTCTAATTTATGGCAGTCAGTGAGATCAGAATCTTCCCTGAAGATTCTGCTCAGTCATTACTCCTATAAAGCTGCCAAAGCTGCCAATAATTCCCTGAGACTTCCCACCCTGGCTGCCACAGCCTGCTTATCTGCTGCCACTAGAATCAGGACACCCTTTCGTGGTCCCACTTGCAATTTAAACCCTCAGACCCTGCTTACGTGACTTCTGGGGGGAAAAAAAAATATTAAATATCTGGCCTTGGTTAACTCAAGGACATTCGCATTTTTCAAACACTGACCCTGAAATTCACCTTCGCGGGGCCAGGCAGAAAATCTGGAGGGATAAAAATGATTCCTGAAACGCACAGGCACAACTCCAAGGGAATTCAGTAAAATCCCTTCTGATTAAATCAGCTACAACATGCCCCCTGCTTTTTCTATTTGTTTTAGGATCAGCAATATGTATACATTCCTAATAACGCCCTCTCCTTGCAAGAAAATGTGTCCACACACTTTGTGCACAAGAACATTTCAAGCATTCACTCACTAAATATTTCTTGTTTAGTTTGGATTTTTTCTCTCTTTTTTGAAAACATCCTATTCCAACATCTCATTGCAAAACATGGGCAAATTTAGAAATGAAAATGCAATTTCAAATCACAGAGTCAACAGTGTTAGTCTAGAGATGTTGAGGAAAACCAGATGTTTCTCCAAATGAAAGATTTCAACGTGCTTAAACCTTTAGCCTTGGCTGCTGCCGAAATAATTCACCAAACACAACATACACTGGGAATTAGGGATTATCTCTGTCTTGTGCCCTGGCTGGATTTCTGGGGGGAAAAGAAACCCTGAACTGATAAATGATGGGAGAGTAGTGCTGTGGGTTCCTGTCTGTTTCAGTGAGCACTTAGTATAAACTGGGTAAGCGTTTGTAGGAGCACAAAGCTGACAGCAGGTCGCTCTCTCTCAGCAGTGTCCTCCACCAAAGACAAACTGAGAGTCCTGGTCTTCTACTCTCTGACCCAGAAAATAAATGCATGTTCCCCACGGACTGGAGGAAGCAGGAAATCCCTCTTCTACTCTGTAAAATGCCCACGTGTAGAAGATGAGAGCTCAAACCCCTACAGGCTGGATAAGAAATCAACCCCTGATGGCCTGTGTCCTGGGAGACATGTCTTATGGACAGACATCAGCTGAGTGGGGGTTTTGGAGGTCATCAGCTTGGGTTTGCAATGCCCAAAGAGAGTATCAGCACAGATCTAGGACAGATCTAAGCCTCTTTTGATTTCTCCTGCTCTCTTCCTGCATTATACCATAGCTAAATTCTGAGTATTATGAAGGTTTGTGCGTTCTTCTGGCCATTCCATGGACACCTGTGAAGTGGGGGCTGGATCTGATGATTCAGAAGTTACTTTAGAGGAAAGAATCAAGCAGTGAAGTCCTCTGCTGGATCTAGCTCTCATCCTCTACTGTCCTCATCACAACTTTGCGACTCTTCTTTATCCAAAATACAGAATAAAAAGGGCAAGAGGCATATTCTCCTTTGAATGAAGGTAGTAGCTGTATTCCCATTGGATCTCTGAGCAGTCACAACAGCAGGTTTTGCTACATTATGAGAAGCTGAAGGATGTTGCTGCAATATTGTGCTTATTTCAAATTTGGAATATTTGAAAAAAAGCCTGGAAGAATAATTTGGCAAGTTCCTGAAGACAGGATAGAGATAAAGAATGGTACTGCTAAGCAGGAATGAATTATCAAGGATATGGCTAAATAAAAATGAATTATCAACTGAGCTAATGGAAGAGAAAAAGAAACTGCTATTCCATAGATCCTACGTGGAGGTCACCTTGGCTTCCCACTCACACATGAATATTCACTGACTTGGAATTGATCTGTCCTTAATCTAGATTTATTTACAATGAGGGTCTCGGCATTTCTTACAAATGACACACATTAGCTCATCACATGAAGTACACTGAAGGCTGGAGATATATCTGATGGTCCTGTGCCTCCTTGAGAGCAGTTTTCTAATTCTGAAAATGAGTCTGTGTGGCAGTGAGAGAGAGGTTTCTTCCCAGTAAACAACAATAAAACAATCAAGCAAATCATCTGCATTCTCTGCTCTCACAGCCAGTCATAATTTAAGAACCAGCTGTGATTGCTGCATTTATAAGTTTTATCAAGAGATCCATGGTTGAATCCAACCTTCATTATAGCAACGAAACTAATCCAATCAAGGAGGATACACAATAAGAAGGTGAGGCTCCTGTATTTCTCTCCCTTTCCTCCCAGCCTTCCTAGATCTTTTCCAGAAAAAAAAAAAAATAAATAAAGGATTAACACATCTTTCCCCATCTACTAATTTACATAGTATGATCTCACTGACTTGAATGTGGAGTTATTCCAGATCTTCATGACCGCGAGGGAGAAGAAAGGCTGTTCCATCACTCTAAATATCTACTTGCTAAACACATGGATTGATGACAACACAGAGAGGGGATTTACAAAAACATTTGTCTTCGGTCTGCTTCAAAAATCCTATTTACAGTTCACATTCATACACCGATTTAAAAAAAAAATCAGGGACAAAAAGAAAAGGAGAACATAATTTTAGTATGGCTTTCTTTTTTTTTTAAACACGTGGCAAAACTGTAGGAGCTGGAAGGCCTGCTAGTGAGGAATCTCTGCTGACATTGCCTTGCTTGTGTTTTCTCAGCTCCTTAATTATACGATCACTACACATAGGGTTGGTTCAGAAATATCTTTAAGTGGGTACTCCTTTTAAATGTGCAAATAGCATCTCTAACTTCAGCTTAATGTTTTGGCTTCCAATCATAAAGCAACCACCAGAAGAGTTTTCTCCATTTTCTTAACCTGTCACAATTTCCAGCGCTTTTTGCTACCTCATTCCCTACTTCTTCCCCAGCGACAAAGCCCAGAGCCAGAACGCACATAGAGTTTGATCCAAATCTCACTTACTCCCAGGATCACAGCGTTGCAATCGCATAAATTACTCCAGATTTCTACTGATCAAATTGGAACTGGAACCTAGATTTTCTTTGTGGCACCATTAATGCTTTGCCTCTTAAGCACCATCTCTAAAGCCTGTAAACGTGTCTTCTCTCTCCCAAGCTTAATCCCAGGACTAGGTCGTGTGAAATGAACTATATGGTCTTGGATAATTCCACAACTGCGTGGAATTTACATTTTCCACATTTTATAGCCCCGAAACGAGGGTTTACTGTACCTCCCAGTCCAGCACGGAGGCCTGCCACTGAGCTATCTTGTCAATGTTCTCCAGTCTCCGCTTCCGCTCGTTGATCTGTAGAGTCACGTTCCTCATGACGGCGAGAGCAGCAGCCACATACCTGTAGTCACTGGGGAACACAAAGAAAAGCCCTTGAAACAGAGATTCACAGCAGAAACGCACCAGAGCCTGGCCCTAGCAGAAGCAGAACATCTCACCAGGCTTTCAGAAAGAAAGGCAGGTAGCATTTGTCACTCATTACTGTGATACCATATTTTTTTTTCCATCAGCAGATCTTTCTAGATCACCACAAAAGAACAGCTTGCTTGAAAGAGAAATTTGTGCGTGTGTGAGGCAGAGAAGGCCAGGCAGCTCCTCAGCTGGTTTGCATCAGAGCAACGAGCCCGGTCCGGCCTCCACCGACCCAACAGACAGCAGTGGTGAGCACTGCTCTTTGAAGTCGTGGGGTGCTCAGCTGAAGAGCATCCTAAAAGAAAGCCTGCACCATTTTATAGCCCGCATCTTTGGGCCTGAGTTTTTCCATTTTTAAAATGAGCATTAAAAAAATATTTTTCAATGAAACACAAGCCCAGAGCACCTTCCAAGCCCTAAGGTGACTCCGAGAGTGCCACAGAGCATCTCTCCCGCGGCATTCGCTCTCACTGCAGACTTCAGGTCAGCAAATCAAAGCAATTCTTTACTTTTTTTTTTTTTTTCCCCTGGATGGGCCTGTGAGTGTAATAACAAAGAGTGAAAATAGCCTCCTGCTAGGGCCAGCAAAGATGATGATCAGTCTTTTCAAAAAGTGATGCTGAAATCAATGCTATTGATTTCCGCCCTGTGCCTTCTTTCCCATTCCAAGGAACCTTAATGTTCATTTCAATCGGAAAGACAGACAAGGCCAGCTGCCATAATGCCACCATAATATATTATTAACTTAAGGGCTGGTATTGATTGCTGACTAATGAGAAAAACTGCGATCTTGGGCAGCTGCAGGGGGAATGGCTTTATTGATTATTGCTAAGAATGCCACTGGTGACAGCTAAAATAGGGGTGACTGCTGTGAATTAGATCCATTTCCCCATGTGATCCAAATATTAAGAAACAATCACAATGTGATACACAACAGAATATTATTTGCTATTTTGCCATCCTTTCTTGGATGAAATCTTGAAATGGGTTTTCAATTTTTATTCAATTCTTACATCAAAATTGTAGCTGACATTAAAAAAAAAAATAATCCTACAAATTCCAGAACATCAAGTCTGGTCCTTCAGCAAAGTAAAGGAGAACAGAGGACGTGCTGTCTGACATATCCATCATGACACACAGTGAAGAATCTCCTGTGCCTTCCTTTGTGCCATCTGTATGAAGTGAGTCCCTGGTTGTGTAAGGGAGAAAATGCCAGAGAGACATTAGCCTGGTCTGCAAAATCTCCGTGAGTTCTTGTAGGGAAACAGGTAAGTCACAACAGCCAGAAAGACTCTGTAGAGGCAGGGAGAGGTGTAGGGTTTGGAGGCGGTCACTAATAATCTCCTAGCAATTATGCTTATGCTAATTGTCAGTCCGCTCGTTAGCAGAGCCTCCTCTTTCTCACGTAACGTGTTCCTACACTTTTAACTCCAGCTCAGTTCTGCAGCAGGAAAGCTTAGGACACCAGCAAGCTGCACTTAGGACCTTCATATATTTAATTCATATTAAGCTGGAGTAAATCTTTAAGAGGTGAACAGATGTGGCTTTGTGAAAAATTCAAATGAACCAGTCTCAAAACAATAAGCAATTGAAGGGAGCCAGGCTCTGAAAACACCCCCATGCCTGCCTCCGTGCAGAGTGGGCCGGTGCCAATCAAGCTGGGTTTTATCTTGGTAATGCTAATTTACTAATTCTAATGTTCTGTTTGAAGAGAAAACCCCATGCACATTTTTCTTTCACGCAGTAATGAAGAAAGAGTCATGACTGAACTTTTTGGGCTCCCAGCCCATGTCTGTGGCAGAGCTGGCAAAAACTTAGAAGAAAAAATAACAGAAGCAAAGCATTTGGTCAGTGAAATAATAATAGGATAGCAGTAACTATGAAATTTAGGTAAATAAATTGTTTGTCAATTATATCAGGGCTGCAATGACCTCTTTCCAGTGCTCAATCATAACGCAAGCTTAGGCTCTTGCCAAATATCACATGGTGACTTGGGGGAGAGTGGTCAGGGTTCTGCTTTCAGCTCTGTTCTCCTGACCTTCCAGAGGGAAAATCCATCCATAGCTCTGTAAGTACAGTATTACAGAAGAGGGGAAAAAAAAAAAAGAAAAAAAGAATATAATGTCCCCCTGTTAGATGAAGCTAACACATTTGCTTTCATTGGGATTCCTGGTCTGTTCTGAATTTTGCCTTACGCTGGAAATGGTTCAATTGATTTAAATGACATTTTCTACATATTAAATTCCAATCAGAGTGCCTAAGAGACTCCTAACCCAGCCAACGATGAGCCTGATTTCATTGGGAGTATTAGTCCACTCTATAATTTTCTAGCTTGTTTCAGACTCACAATCTAATTGTGAGCACCGTCAAACTGCAAGTGCACGAGGACAACTCACCACTTGATTAATGGGCCTGGCTGAAGCTCCCCAGTTGGCTTCTCAGTTTCTCTTGAATCATAGTGGACCCTGAGGGTACCCCAGCCTGCAGGGATCTGGCTTTTCCCTGTCTCTGATATTGTCACAACGTGACTTTCCCAGAAGATTATTTGCTTTTCCATTCTCAGGCTTTGCTCATCTCACCCCCTATCCCAAAATCCTGAATTACTAGAGCAGAAAATACGTGTATTTTGAGCAGGCAACCAGAGCAGCTGGGGTTTTCTGTGCAGCCCCAATGCAGAAGCATCTGGTGGTGAGGAAGACACACTCTCTGTGCCTCGCTTTCCCCGCTGGTGGCATTAAGCTCACCTGGGACATGAGCTGGGACACCTGGAGCATCAGTCCCTCCCAGGTTCTTTGAATGCTTGAATGGGAGGAGGTAGAACACAGGGGAGGGTGGTGTAACCCACCTCATTTCTGTGTTATAACCCATTCCTCCATCAGCCAACAAACTCTCCAGGGTGTGCCCCCACTAACAGAATCACCCCTCGCTCCAGGGCTTTAGCTGGCTCTGTGCAGGGAGGAGTTTCATCTACACACTGTGTGACAGCTTCAGGGGGGCTCACTCTTCACTAACTCAGGAGAAGAGATTATAATCCTGCTTTCCCTTTTCAGAAAAAGAAGAAACAAGAGAAGTGAAGAGTCCACGGCTGTGTCCTATCACTGACACGATCCAGAGCCCTCAGTCTGAATCAACTAATTGTCATTTAACCACCGGAAAGGTCCGAGTTTCCTCAGAATACAACTAAATCTCATTACTTAACAACATGCTGATTTTAAAACATCCCAAAGGAAAAAGGAATGCGCTCCCAAAATAATTCAACCCTTGTGCAATCACACTGTCCACATCCCCTTTGGTATTGCTACCAAATAACTCAGCAAAGGTCATTTTAAACCCAGCCCTCTTCTCTCTGAGGCTCCCAATGTCTCCTCTTTGTAAAGCCGCATCTCAATTCCCGCTCTGCGTACTGTGGGGACACCACATGGCTGGGCAGGAAAAAAAACCACAACATTTGGGAACCCAGAGCTGGTTTCTGGTACCCTAACGTTCCCACGAGTCCACTCCAAGCTTGATGTGGTCTCACTACGAAGGGAAAACCAGAAACTGGTTCTGGAGCCAAATGCATGTCCAAAGGGGTGACTTTGAAGCGGGCATTCCGCGAGCATGAATCAAACTCACAAATGGGGTCAAAGCAAATCAATGCATCTCTTTGCTCGTATCACGTCTCTCTACGCTTTTAGAGATGGGTTTGGGGAAAAACCAAACAAAAAAATCAAATACTTGCAGAACTTTCTGAAACATCTGTGAGTTTTTTTGTTCTCTGAAGCACTTCCTTTTAAATGTGTTTTGGAAAAAGAAAGAAAACTGGCAAGGCAGGAGAAAACCTACTCTTAGGGGGGCTGATTCTTCTTTCAACCTATTTTTATAGCAGTATATCATGCGGGATATCATAGGTACTATTCTTAATTTACATTAGGTCAGGGGAGTCAGGTTGATTGCCCTCAGCAGCCTCAAAAGAGATCCTAGAGATACTGGGAGGTAATCAAACTGCTGGGGGCTGCTCTGAGCCTAAACCCAATGGCAAAATCAGATGGAATCAGGCTGAGAAAGAGAGCAGGTTCTGAATTCTCCCCAGATCTGAGGGTATTCAGGTTTGAGTTGTGGATCCTGGCCCTCCCCTTGCTCCATGCTAAGGGCAATCAACCTGAGGTCTTCTTCAGCATAAAGGAACGAGCTTTTATGACCACCGAATGCTAATTAGGTGATTTTTCTAGTGTAACCGGTGGCATCAGAAAGTACATCCAAGGGTAATTAGTTCCCATGTCTGATTATACCAGAGATGAGTTTGGCTCCATTGAGAATCAGCGCTTTGAGAAGCTCTCTAACTGTCTGCTGAACCTTTGCCCTTCTTCGATTTACACAAGATGTCATGAAGAGAAGAGCTGGATGGGGAAAAACCCAACCCCTGTGTGCGCCCAGAGGTGGTGTAAAGCAGCAGTGAGGAAAACCCCTCCATGGATTAAGAGCCCAGCATACCTGTGATCCTGCGCCGTGTACTTGAGGAGCTCTGCAAGCTGCAGGGGGTATTTGCAGATCTTCTGCACCGGCGTCAGAAGGAAACCGTCTATGGCAATGTCAATCATCTGCTGCAACAGACGACACGCTTCGAAGAAATGCTGGTACCTGCTGTCCTTCATCAGCTTGGAAAGCTCCATGCACGCATCCAGGTGATTGTTACAGTACTCCGAATAGATCCAGAAACCATCTTGCTGTGGGAGGCAGGAGAAGAGGGATGCACACAGAGGGGAGCACACGTCAGACCGGTGCTGCGGGCAGTCAACCACCCGACTCGCCAACGAGAACAACTATTCAAAGAGAGAAGGACTAAAGAAGAGAGAATCCCCAAGCAGGAGGAGAAAGGACTGTGCAGTGTTGTGGCTGTTCTCAGTTTCAAATCCTGCAATGGGGTCTTCTTTATAAAAGGTAAAGGCAGAACCAAGCAGAGCTCTGGCCTTTGGCAATACAAGAAGACAACCTTGTTACTTCTCAAGCTCTTTCCCTGGAAGATCAGGAAGCACCTGGCAAGTGTTTAGGAGCTGGGTCTATGAAATTCCCTTTACCAACCAAGGCACCAACTACTGTGTGGACTTCCCCAGGACCAGAGAGCCACAAAACACCAGAGAAAGTCAAAAACCCCACTCACACGTGTGCCCACCCACCCCTTGCATGGGTCTAGCAAGTCTTTTTGTGCTCATTTTATTGGAATCTCCTTCGTCTGCCTTCAGGGACAACAGATGGGGCTACGGCAGTTTGTCACCCTTAACTGAGGCTTGATTTGTCTGGGCCACGTGGACAAGGTGGCCAAAAGTCGGAGAAAAATTGCACGGGAAGGGAGAGTCAGATACAAACTGACTGCACAACAGCACTTATTCAGACTGTAGTTGAGACAGTGCACATTAAGCCCAGGTGTTGTAGGTCAACAGCCTGAGATGCTACATCAGGTTGTAGCCAATGCCTTACAAATTACAGAAATTTGTAATTCTTTTTTTTTTTTGAAAAAACACACTTGACCAGCAATTCTTATTTCTCAGTCCCACAAGGACCCAAATAATCTGCCTTTCTGGGAAAAGGGGAGCCCGGATTCTTTCCCATCCCCAGAGCTGACCAAGAGCCAAGCGCTGACACCTCCCTCTTCCTGAAGCAGATGCTGAACAAGATGCTCCACGGATCCACACGACAGGATCTTCATGTCCCCATCCCTCAGTTTCCCCCAAATGGCTAAACAGGGATAATTCATCAGGAGTTTATTAGCCAGCTTTCAGCCCCTATCTGATGACAGGAAAGTGTCAAATATTCCCCCGAATAACAGTAGTAATTCTTACTATTGTCACTGTAAATGAATTGACAGCACAGCCTCAAGACATGAAGCTTTAGCTACTGATTCTCACCAAGATTTTTTACATCTTTTTAACGCAGAGACGGAATATGATGCTGATTTGGAAGCAAGCAGCAGAGATTGTAGGCTCTGATAAAAGTGAGCAATGTTAACGCCATCATGCAACTGCTGAAAAAGAAACCTGCTTTTCTATTAGAAGACCAATGGTGCTTCAGAGATGCTCTGAACCTTTTTAGGGACTCCCCACTGAAGTTTCATGCATGTCTATCAGAAATGTCTCTAATAAGAAGGGAACTGTTGCCAGCTCAGCCCTGACGGCACGTAACGAGGTGACACAGCGCAGGATCTGCATCCCGGGTCGCAGCACCTCAAACCTAAGCCCTGACACAGCACTTCATTCTCCCTGAAGGAAAGCCTAGAACTGCAGGACTACAATTTTCTTGACATTTCCTGACATACATACAGCACTGGCCAATTTACCAGCTCCTGTAGTGCGTGGTTTATGTAACAGTACGACGGGCTGGGCAAAAGCCTCCAGGACTATCTCTCGTCAGCTAAAATGTCCTGTTCAGTGTGCACTTAGTGTGAGTGTGTATCTGCTGCCCTGCTGCCACCTGGGCAGCACGAAGCACGGGCTGGTACCTCCCCAGCTGGCCCAGCAGCTCTGCAGGGGAAGGCACCTGGGGCTGCAGGTGTTTTTCATCCCTTGCAAACGCATCTCGGTGTCACAGTGAACAGCCCAAGCATTTGCTCTCTTCTTTTTGTGTAACACACAACTCTTTTTACTTCTCTGGACTCTTTTACCTCTTCCAACCTTCTGGTCATCCATGACCTGATTAGCATGGCCTGTGGGGGGGGGGTTAAGTCATATTCTGAAGAGCAAAATAAGGTGGGGAGTAGGTGGGGGGCATCATACCTACATAACATGAGAAAAGGTGGATGTGAAAGGTGTTGAGATTCAAGTATATTGGGAGAGTTACCTAACTATATGCTTCAGTTTGAATTTTCCCTATACCTATATTTCACACATCAAAGAGAAGGCCATGGAGTATTCTGTGATATGTAAATACAACAGTACTGATGCACACAAGTTATTCTGAGTGATTCCTGCCTCCTGACTTTCTCTGCTATTCCCCTCCCATCCCCTCCAATTCCCCCCCCAAGAAAAACCAACCCCCAAAACTGCCAAACAAAAATGCCAAATGAACTTACGTGTTCAAGGAAACATGGTCCGATTTCACTGAGATGGGGATCCTCGTTGTTGTACTGTTTCTCCAAGTCCCGGACAAAACCCATCTGAAATCTGTAGATATCTTCAATGTTACCAAAGATGATCCTTAGCTGTTCATCACTGAACATATCCCTCCTCTTCCGGCACTGCTTTAAGTAACCCTGTAAGGAGTAAAACAGACCAATCCATAAAATAAACACTTATTTTGAGGCTGCTCCCAGATTTTTCTTGGGGAAGGAGCAAGTGAAAACTAACTCAGAAAATGGCTCTGAAAGCAAAATCTACTTGTTATGACACGACAGTCTCCATCAACTCCTGAGTGAGCAGACGATACACAAAATACGCCCTGAAAGGCTACGAGTCCTCTTTTGATAGACATCATCTTATGTGCAATTGTTGTCCCCGCTGCAGACCCACAGCACTGTTCTTGCTCAGGACACACCAGGTCCAGAAGCCCAGGGCTTCACCGCCTGTGGCAAGAGATGCTGGACACAGCGTGTGTCCAGGGCATGGGGAGGACAGTGCTGGGTTCTGCCTCAATGTCCTTCAGTGTTTTGCACGAATCAGTTTTGCAAAGGAAAGGTTCCCCAAAGATCTCAACTGGCAGAGCCTGAAATGCCTCTGTGCTGCAGAGAACTGCAAAATGTGGCCGACAGCTCCAAAGAGGTGTGCTATGGAACTGTAGGCCTGTTCCCTCAGAAACCCCGGCCTCGCAATACCCAATATCCAGGGTAGCTCCTACAAACATTGCTGTTTCCATCTCCTCTCAGAGAAAGCTGCGAGGGGCTGTTTGATCATCTGCTTGCTCCCATTTCCTCCTTTTGGCCATGGTAATCAGGACAAGGAAGCTGATAATCACACTGAAAAATACTCTATTCATATGTGGCTGCATGCTCTCCGTCTAGGAAGAGTGTGTGGAGGCTGTAACCATCCTTGGTGTTTCAGCACCAAGTGAAACGCTGAAGCAAAACACTCCCCAAGTGTTCTCTGATTTGAGAGGCAACATGGTTTATATCCCTCCCATTACTCATCTTCCTGAGTCTGAGCCAGAAGCAGGAGGCTGTTGTCCTGGGAGTGTCATGGTGGGGAGCCCCAAAGGTGATGCTGAAGGTTGGGGAAGTGTTTTGGATTGTCCAAGCAAGGGAAACACAGTGGGAGCAGCCCGAGCTGCTGATCAATGCCATCTAGAGGAATGCAGCATTATTTTTATTTTGTTTTCTATACCTTCCATTCCATTACTGCAAATATGCTATTCCAAACAGTGTCAAATGAGGGAGAATTTTTCTCCTCTTTTCTCAACTGTCGCTTTTTTCATCGCTTTTCTTCCTTTTTAAAGTGGGATCAGAGGAAAAGGCTTTGCACGATTCTCTGTACAAACACCAGGCTCCCTTATTGAGTCTACAGACATTAAAGTCAAATGGAGAAAGAGAGAGGAAGAAGCAGGATGTAGAGAGTTTAAGGAAATTCTCCAAAATGACAGAATGAATCTGCAGTATATTTGGAAACAATTTAGATCTTCTGTGTCGTGGTCCAGTGCAATAATAAAATGATCCTCCTTCATCTGGACATCAGGCGAACACAAATCAGTAGGCAAGCACTTCTCTGAAGACCTCCTGACCTAAAAAGATCGAGTAGATCCATATTCTAGCAAAAAGTGTAACACACCAAGTTCCATCTGCCTCCCTGTGCCGCTGACCCTGCCTTATCCATGAACTCACCACCCAGTTTTCAGCTGAATCAGGAGGACTTCTTCAAACACGCTTTCCTGGAGCATGTGTGGTCCAAGGGATGGGGTGACACACAGAGCTGGGCCGAATTTCTGGCTCTGCCACCAACCTGTGTGACATTGAGAAAATCACTGCAACCCCATCCTGCTTTGTCTGTCTGGGCAATTTAGACTAGAAACTTTGCAAGGCCAAATATCTGACGCTACGCTGGCCTGGTCTGCATCAAGGCCTCTCGACTGCAAAGAAATAGCATGGGGGTCATCACGAGATGACTTTGCCTGCCTTTATTATATAGGATGAGAAAAAAAAATTAAGGGGAAAAAAAATTGCCAAGAGCTCCAGTTGAATGGCTATATTTGGGAACTCTAGATGCTTAGTCACACAGCCGAACCGCCAGCTGGTGACACGCAGCTGCTGGTCCACAATGAGAACTGTTGGAAGGCTATAATAAACTGTCCTTCAGCCTCACCATGTGGTTCCTGGGAGGGAGAACTTCAAACAGATGAATGATAAACGCAACTTTGGCCGACCTGGCAAAGAACCAACCTCTGAGATGTCCAGCTTAGCTATAAGGACGCCGGTCCCCTAAATTTGCTGCCTTTTTCAGCTGGGAAGCTCGGATTACGGAATACCTTCTGCATTTACTAAATCTAGGTCTCTCTTCTTCCAGGAGCTCCTTGATGACTCATTTCCCTGGGCTTCCCCCTCTCATTTTTCAAGGCCAGGAGGAACGGGAGCAGGCTGGTTCCCAATAGTTGCAGCAGAAATAAACATCCAAGCTAGCAAGGAATAACACAGAATATCTTCCCATGCTGCTTTTTCTTGTTTACCTGCTTATCTCAGAACAGCTCATCATAAAAAAAAAAAAAGGATGTGTGCCTGCCCACAAGGCCAGGCTCTTTTTGACACCGGTTTTGGTGCCAGCGGCGCTGAACGACTGCCTGGAGCCCTTTGTGTGGGGCCCTGTGCCCCGCTGCAGGCTGCCTGCACACAGCCTCCCCTCGCAGGCTGCTCTGTGCCATCCGTCACCGGGTGATTTATGTGAACATCTTTCAGCCCTGGGGTTGCTATTGGCTGCGACTCCCGTCTTGAATATTCCCCGTCCTCCCGGTGCTGGTTCATCGCTTTGCCCGAGTCAGGCGTTTCAGAGAATCTGAAGCAGCACATTTCTGTGCCGGCACCTATCAAACCACGGGGAAAAGAAAAGAAAGCACCGAGTTCCCAAACCTCGTGTGTCTGGAGGAGTGGTTTCCAGCACCAGGCAGCAAAGGGGAGACTGAAGATTTATATACAATACGCAGCAAGAGCCAGCGAGAAGGCTGCTGCATAGTTTTTCCAGTAAATTTACTTCTGTTACATAAAACAATGTCATCTTCCTTCTGCTCATCACATCAGGTTTGCTCAGAGAAGGGATAGCTGACTGATGAGCAGATGTTGGAGAGCGTTTTGCTCAATGAATACCTAAAAATAGCTGTCAAACTGTCTCTCTTTAAAGTACTTTTTCGTGTAGTCCCTGAAGTATAGGCCAAAGTTGGAAAGTATTTGCAGGAGGTTAAGTGCTAAGTTTTTTCCACCCTAGAGTGGGTTTACAGTTGGGAGAGGTGACCAATCCATCCATCCCTCCATCATCTGTTCTTCTTCTTGTCCGGCTGAGAGCAGTGTGAAGGAGAGAATGAGGGGCCAGCAGCTCCTCAGATGTGGTCCTGTGAAGGTGAGCCCCACTGCTGCCCAGAAGGTTTTATGCTGCTTCACTCTGAAGCAGCAAAAAAACTGTTTTTCATCCATCTCCAAGAACAAGTCAGGCTGGTGCCACCCAGACCACGCGAAAACCTGTCCCATCAGCTCTGCACAACAGACCCAGCTTGATACGCTGAGAAGCAATGACGATGCTTTCCACGTGGCATTCAGAGCTGGCCTGGCACCAAAGCAAAGCTTAGGTGGAATCCAGTCAACATCATTAAAAAATAAAGTCAAAATGAAATTACTTGGAAAAGAGTAAAAGGCAGGACTGGAAATTGGCTGCCCTTTCTAACCTCCCACCCCCAAATTACTCATAACGCGGAGGTTTCCTTTGATCTCCCAATCGCCTCACTGTTCCAACCCAAGCTCTGTCACTTCTAACACCTCCTTAAATTTACCCTTGCCTTCCTAATCCATAGGCTGGTGCAAATCCTGCTCGTTTCTCAAAGCACAGCACCCTGCTCTTCGTACCCCTCCTGCATCCCCCCCTTCCACCTGCGCTCCCCACCGCACGACGCAGCTCAAACCACCTCTGTCTCATGGAGGCAGCTGGTCCTGGCTGAGCACCTCGTTTGTTCTGCTGGTGTCACCAGTGCCACACCACGGACAGACTCTGCACCCTCCTGCATCAAACCCCAGGCGCAGGGGGACACCTTTTCAAGCCTGGAGATGGCCGTGCAGACGTGGTGCTTTACAGGACAGGGAGTGAGCAGCACTGCCCACCAGGAAGGCTACTGCTACTCATTATAAAAACCTAGCTTTCAGTAGCTTATTATTTTTCTAAGCTCTAACCACTAAGCCTGAAATTCCTACTGCTGGGTATTTCCTTAAGGCTCAACTCTTTTTTCTTTCCTTTCCCCTTGGTGATAGTTCAGAATAATGATCCGTCCACTCCCGATAATGTGCTCCAGGAAAACCTCCGCATTTTACCCCTAATAAAAATCTTCACAAAACTGTTTCACCGAGCAGCAGTCAGCTCTTCATACCCTCAGCCAGGGCAGAGCAGCAGCAGTCTTTGGGGCAGGATGGCTTTGCTGCGATGGGGAATTCCCCCCCAAACCAGTTGCTTCGCACTGGTCTTGGCTTGTGCAGGTGATTTTCATTTTGGTGCTGGCTCAGTTGCGAGCTCCTGGCTTGGCAGGACGAGTGCCACGGGTATTATGAATAATAACACAGTGTATAATAATATAGTAGCAGGCAGTGGAAACACATCCTGAAGCAGAAAAGAGCAATTTGGAGGGTTCTTAATCACCTAAACAGGGGCTACAGTCCTCTGGTAACAACCACGCATCGAAAGGCGCCTCACTGGTATTAGGATTTGTTATTCGTTATAGCTCAGCAACAAGAGTATAACTACACACTGCTAAACTGAAAGTATAACTACACACTGCTAAACTGGTACTGAATCAGGCTCAGCCTCCCCCATCCAGCCAGAACCCCTCTCCCATCCCCTCCAGTACACCACCTCGCTGCTGGCTGTGCTGACACCTTAAAATAAAGGGCTAAGGGAAGGGGGGAATTTGCCACTGTCAATGGTGCTTCTGCATCTCATCAGCGTGTGTCTGGTGTCTCCTGGTTCTTCGGTACAAATTCATCCTGTGGTGCTGGGAGGAGCTCAGACTGGCCCGTGTCCCTCCATCCTCAGCCCCCTCCTCTCCTGCACAAGCAGAAACACTCACGTCATGCGATGCCGAAATGCCTGGGATGACGGAGCTGTCTCCGAGCCTTCTCCAGGCAAATGGATTGCTCTGATTAAACTGAGCACAATGAGGCTCCCTCCAGCAAGGGACAGCCCATCATTTTGCAGATAAGAATGCCCGTTTCAGTCCTCCTCCTCCTTTAAGAGAGGCAGCTGAATCATTTCCTGGTTGCTCTACCTGGATTTATCCCCTCAGTATCATTTTGCATCACACAGGGCGAGGCAGGAGCCTCAGAGATCTCTTTCACATCTGGGACATACCATTAGGTCCTGTAAATCAGCATTACCCCCCAGGTGTCACTGAAGCTATACCTGTCTGTGCCTCCTCAGAATCTGATTTGGCAAAAGCCTGGTGACATGGCTGGGAAATGCAAGTTAAGGTTGATTTAGTTTTTCAACAGAAAAAGTGCAGATGCAGGAAAAGAAACAATATGTGGAAAAGTTCCTGCAGTTCCTCCCTTCTTCAACGCAAAGCCCTCTGACTGAAATAGCACAGCGAAATTAAGCTCATTTGTTTCCAAATTGAAGTCCCAAGCCTCTTCCATATTTGCAAAGTGTCATAGATGCATTTTGGACGGCTCTTTGCCTTGTCCATAGAAAAGTAGCAAGTATAAAGGGAGGAAGACACTTTTCTAAGCAGAATTCACAAAGGGCTTCAGCACATTGACTCTGCAAAGACTGGGCACAGGCTCGCTAAATCCTAAACACTCGGAGGGATGAGCTGAAAGCTCTGGACTTTGATTTTGGTGCTAACAAACTTCTGCTTCTTAGTGATAAGTATATGCTCTCCACACCATTCTCCTTCCCAAACACCCAGCACCGCGCGCACCACGCTTTGGGCTTAGCCTGTGGCACTAATTCCGTGTGCTGCAGGACAGTGAGGGGTCAACTGTAGAGGTTAATTGGAACATAATGAAGAGGAACCAAGTCGAGGATGTGAGGGGTCAGTCACCAAAGTTCATTTTTGTGCTGGTTCCCTGACCCTGGATAAACGTAACGCACTTCATTTCCCACAGTGACAACACTTTGGTCTCAGTCTCGCCGTAAGAAAAGGCAAACGGGGGCCATTCTGAGCCAGGAGAAATTGTGAACCCAATGTGAAAGGCATAGATGAAACGGGTAACTGATGGGTTTAATTACAACCTAATTTCCTCAATCACAAGTTCAAAAGTAGATGGCATTGGGTTTTAATTAAGAAGACTGCTTGAAGGATCTCAACCTCATAATTTTTTAGTCAAAGAGGTATGGAAAAAAGGTCAGAAAATTGTACTTTTAGTTAATACAAACTAAAGGTAATTATCAGACCCAGCAGGAAATTCTCAGAAGTATCAATACTTATTGACAGATGCTGTTCCTCTATTAGACACCGCACTCAGACACTGCATCTTTCCCCCCACCACCCATGGATGAACCTCAGCTCTCAACAGCTCATCCCACGTCCTGCTGCAGGACCCCGGCGTCACAACCCCCACGTACCTCGCAAATGTCCTTGAGGTGCTTGATGTAGTGGCGCTCCGTGCTCATGATTTCATTGATGACGTTGGCTCTCATCTGGTCTCGGTTCTGGACGGTCCTGCCGAGACAGAGGCAGTCGGCGCTTGGGTCCAAGTGGCCATTCTGCACATCGCTGGTTCCCTCCTCCACTCCATCCTCTTGGTTTACCCACAGCTGCCAGGAGAAGAAGGGGAGAGCTTATTCATAAAAGCATCAGGAAGCCAATGAGGGCAAGTAGGCTGGGTCTTGGGTTGCATGACTCTGGGAGACACTGGATCAACTCCCTCCTTACAGCGACGGTGATGCTCTTGCCAGTGATGCACCGTGGTGTCCACCCCAGCTTACAGCCCAGACAGCCCAGTTTTATACTGGTGCAACCAGCCCCAAATGCTTCCTCGCACGCTGCCAAGTTCCTCCTGTAAGCAAAGGGGTTTCAAGTGTTGGCAGTTTTGATCCCAAATATAAAATAATCATGTGAAAGGGTAACTGGAGTGTTGGATGCTGTCAGGTGCTCTGAACCAAGACGTACGGAGGTAAAACAGACCAACCTAAAGAAAATGTACGTTACTGCTGTAAAGCACTGCGTGTCCCTGCTCCCGCACGCTGTCAGCTGGGGTCTGTCCCCTCAGGAAGAAAAATCTGGGAGGAGGGATAAGCTCTTTGCTGGTGACTGATTCAAGAAGGTCAGGATACCTCTGATTCAGAAATCTGAATGACTGTGACCACCAGCCCAGGGTAACTGGGTCCTGGTGCCGGGTTTTCTGTAAACTTCCCAGGCCAGGATTTGTGAATGAGCACTGAATTTCAGTTCACAGCAGCTTTCCTCCTCATTGCACATGAAGAGCCTTTCTCACTCGGGCAAATGCCCCATCTCCACATCCTGAGATCGTGATCCTGAAACCACAGTGAGATCAGACCGGCTGAATAAACCTCCTGAAACCCGGGGGGCTGAGGGCAGCTCTGGACGGGGTGCCAAGCACCCCCGGGCACTGAATGCTCTAAATTGGAATGAACTGTAAAAAGCAATGGAAAAGGATCGCTGCATTTTCAGCACACTGGATTTTCTTTCCATCATCAAATAAAAAAAAACATACCTTGAACTTGTAAACTAAAAGATAACACTCCTCCTGGTCTCTGTGTCTTTGAAGAAGACTGTGCTCTACACACAATATACACAAGTGCTTCCTTTGGTTACCTTTTCCCACAAATAAAACCCACTTAAAATAACTCAGATCAACTCAAATTGGGCTCAGTTAGTTTATGAACAAACATTAAATAAAGCTTCACACAGACAGAAGCACTGCTGTCTTACCCAGCTCACCTACGTTGCTATATAGATGAAGAAACGTTTCTCCTCAGCGTTTAAAGCCCCAGATACTGGAGACTTTCAAACATAAAAATCCCTCTCCCTGTAAAGAGTGAAACTGTCCCCACAGACAGAGCAGCACATGGAAAAGAAACCACATCGTTAACCTGATCTTTCAATCTTCTTTTCAGTGTTAATAGTTTTTTTTAATACCCTCCCATTATTCAGCTTAAATTCGGTTTTAAACAGATTGTAAAGGGCTGTGTTCTTGCAAATTAGTAAAGTAAAAAACCCCAAACCTGCCCGTGCTCCTTTCCTGTGTTCCTAACCAGTACCATGTGCTGCTGAACCGTTTCTTACGGTAAAAAGAAATGTATGTTGAAAAGAAATATATGTTGAAAATCAAGCAGGACCAAGGTAGGTAATGAAACCTTGTTGGCTGAAGTTTAAAATTACTTCCCACCCTACCTGCCTGCGACTAGGAAAAGGCGTTTTGCAGCTCTCCCCCACCCAACTGGAACGGCTCCTTACCAAGTTTCATGACACTCCTGGCAGTTTGGCAACTGACGGTATTTTTAAAGCTCTGCCTCCTGGAACCAAGCGATCGGGAGAAAAATTTCCATTTTCATTTAGAAAATAAAGCAGGAAAGACCTACTCATAATAGTAGAGGGAGGAAGCCTGAAAGCATGAATCCTAAAGGCTTTGAAACTCTAAGGCAAACGGCCAGCTTGCAAACTTTCATGATTTCCAAAACCCTCCGAATTCGGTCTGCCTTTTGTGCGCTGCGGGAACACTCCCTGCCTCCACATCTGGGAATCTCAGGAGTCCTGCTTTTTTCCTTAATGAAATTTTTGCTCCTTCCTGCTAGGATTCATGTTCCCAATAGGCAAAAAATTACAGTTCTAGTCTAGATGACTTCTGCTTTAGATGAAAAACAAACACAAGCATTTTCTGGGTAACAGAGGAAGCCAAAAGTGCTTTTCACCCCACGCTCTCCAGCCTCAGCTGCTCAAAGCACTAATCCCACTGCGCTGTTCAAACCCTCCTGCTTTTTGTCTTAACCTTGAAAGTTCTCCAAAATTCAAGCAAGGATCATTCTTCCAGGGGATCATTTGAAGCTTGGACCATGACTCACAAAAGATGAGGTACATGGGCAGCTCTTGCTGCTGACCTTGGGCCAATCACTTAAACTGGTGGAGGCTTTCCCCATCTAGAAACGAGGATAATCTACCTTTTCCATTAATATTTTTGAGGCTGACAGACTTTGCAGTGAAGCAGAGGGCATAGAAAAGCTTATAAATACTTTGAAATATGGACTTGGAGGCATCACTGTGGGCTCGCCACGCTCTTTTACTCATCCATGAGCAACACTTTGGCTAGAGACGGACCTTTGGTCCAACACAGCACGGCTGGGTTACAACTTCAGCTCTCAAATCCTCTCGTGACCGTGCTGAGACGGAGCTGGGCTGAGTTGGAGGAAGGGAAGGCTTCACCTGAAGTGTTCATCGTGTGCCCTGACCCACCACCACCCCAAGCCACATCCTCTCTGCTTCACTGACCTGCTTGCTCCAACCGCCACGATGGTGAGCTGCGGGCGACAGCAAGGTGGGAGAGGCAAACTGGGGGTGACACTGTTTTTTCCCCAGGAACTTCTTAAATGTCGTATTTAGTTGATCTAGACAATGCTGCAAAGGTTCCTATTTTAGCCTACTCCACAGTCACCTGTAAGTAGGGTGTTCACTGTGTTTCAGACACAAACTCTCCCAAAAAATGCCCTCCTGCCTGAAATGCTTCACCTCCACTGCTGTGGATAACAGCTGAGATACCACTGATGGAAAAAGGGCTCTCTCTTTCTCAGCTTTCCCAACATGTACTGGACACAAATGCACAGATGCACCTCCCTCCCAGGGCAAATCTCAAATTTTTTTTAAAAAAGAAAGTTCAAAACTCTACTTTTCCCCCAGTTTCACCTCATTTCCCCAGTTTTCCCTGCTCAGAATGGGCGGCTGCCACCCCTGTGAAGCTCCTGTGGAGCTCCCCACAGAGCAGAGGTGGGACTTCAGTTCCCTGGCAGCTTCTCCTGCCTCTCACCTGGACTTTGGGAAGACCCTCTTGGCTCCTGTCCTGTCCCTCTCAGCCATTAGGGGCTGTGGCTCGGCACAGACGGAGGTTTGGGATCTCAGCCTCAATTACTGCAGCCAACGCCACTTAATGGGTTTTATTTTTAAAACAACAAATAATAACAGCTGTTCAACAATCATCAACAACCCTACAATAATAAATCAGCCTTCAGTACCTTTTTTTAATACCTCTGCAATGCAAAAAAGCACAGGCTCTGCAATAATACGGCACTGCGTGGGTCTCCCCCACACCATTCAAAAGGTCCAGCACGTCAAACAACGAAGCCTGCCCTGAGAACCACTTCAAATGCTTTGTATTAAGAATTAATTAAAAGAAACCCAGAAAAAAACTACAGGGAAAAAAAAAATCAGGTTGTATAATGCTAGTCCCAAGTGATGTTTCACACTGAAAGGCCACCCTACATGTGGAGAAGAACAAGCTTATCATGAGGCTCACAGTCCTATTTCAAAATTCAACCCTAATTAGGAAGTCATGACCAGCTCCTGCATAACATAATAATTTGCAGAGGCAGATAAAAGTAAAATAGTCAAATAAAAAAAGCCCCTTTTGCCTAAGAATCCAGTTCTGGGAGCCAGAGAGAGCTGATCATTTCATTGTGCTGGTTAATATTATATGTGATTTATATAAAATCTGTAGAAATGTGATGTATCAATTTGCAGCTATACCCAAATGGTGCATAAAATCACCAAATGGCACTGTTCCAACATTAGCTGACCTGTAATTATTATATATTTAGACCGCTGAATGCATACACTGTATATAGAGGACATTTTACTTGAATAGGCACTGAGGGCTGATAGTCTCGTAATAATCAGAAAGCATGATAAAACAAACATTTTACCAGCCATCTGGATTATTAATCTCCTTCCACTGGATATTCACAAGGACAAAACTAGCAGATAATGTGCCATCCTGGATTCTAGCTCACAATTAAATAATGTGGCAGATTAATGATACAGACAGATCCTTCCAGAGAGCCATTTCTCCAAAACATCTACTCACCAGTGACTTTATAACAAAGACAAGATGAGCAGCCCAACTTGCACCAAAATCTGGTACCAGACAGTGGTACTACAGTGTCATTAGCCCAGCAACAACCGCGAGGGCAAGCAGGAGGCCCCAATAACCCTACAGGGGGTTGTCTCTTCTCCCAAGGAACAGGTGATGGGACAAGAGGAAACGGCCTCAAGTTGCACCAGGGGAGGTTTAGGATGGATATCTGGAAAAATTTCTTTACCAAAACGGTTGTCAAGCATTGGAACAGGCTGCCCAGGGAAGTGGTGAAAGTTCCCATTCGTGGAGGTATCTAAGGAAGTGCAGACATGGTGCTGAGAGACATGGTTTAGTGGTGGCCTTGGCAGTGTTAGGTTAATGGTTGGACTTGATGATCTTAAAGATCTTCTCCAAAGTAAACATAATTCTATGTGATGCACAATTGGGAAGATCGAAAGCTCAGCTGCTCCAGCAGCTCCTTGCAGAAGTCCTGCCAGGCTGAGGAAGCCACTGCTTCGTTCGGGGGAAGGACCTTTCTTCATGACCAGTTTGGCAGAGGAAGGGGCTGTGAAGACTTCTGATGGGTCTGCCTGATTCAAAGAATGGCTTCAAAAGAAAGTTTTGCACCTGTGAGCCAGCTCCTACGAGGAAGGGCCCGAGTGCTGGCATTTGAACCTTTGGGGATCTGAGGATGCTGAGCTGCCTGAGTGGCAGGAGCTGTCACGTTAATGG